CCGGGACATCCCCTGACTGGGATCCCCGACAGACCCAGGGGAGGTGCAGCCAGGCCTAGGGTCAGTGAGGACCTAGTCAGGGAACTTCTGAAGGGACTGGACTTATTTAAATCAGCTGGTCCTGACTATCTCCACCCCAGAGTGCTGAGGGAATTAGCAGAGGTCATTGAAGGACCCCTGGCACGGCTTTACGAGCACTCGTGGTGCTCTGGCGAGGTGCCGGAGGACTGAAAAAGGGCCAATGTGGTCCCCATTTTCAAAAAAGGGAGGAAGGAGGACCCAGGAAACTATAGGCCCGTTAGTCTTACCTCGATCCTGGGGAAGCTCTTTGAGAAAATTATCCAGGAGCACATCTGCAAGGGACCTGCATGGGGGATCATGCTTAGGGGCAACCAGCATGGGTTCATTCAAGGCAGGTCCTGTCAGACCAACCTGGTGGCCTTCTATGACCAGGTCACAAAAGCCTTGGATGCAGGTGTTGCGGTGGACATAGTCTTTCTGGACTTCAGGAAGACCTTCGACGCTGTCTCTCACCCCATCCTCATTAAAAAGCTAGGTGACCGTGGTGTCAATGCCTATGCAGTCAGATGGGTCGCAAATTGGCTGAGGGGGCCACACCCAGAGAGTGGTGGTGGATGAGTCATTTTCGACCTGGAGGGATGTGGGCAGTGGGGTTCCCCAGGGCTCGGTCCTCAGGCCCGTGCTGTTCAACATTTTCACCAGTGAGTTGGACAAGGGGGTGAAAAGCACCTTGTTCAAATTTGCAGATGACACTAAAATGTAGGGAGAAGTGGGCACACTGGAGGAGAGGGACAGGCTGCAGCTAGATCTAGACAGGTTACAGGGGTGGGCGGATGAGAACAGGATGGGTTTCAACACTGACAAGTGCAAGGTGCTGCACCTGGGGAGGAAGAACCAGCAGCATACCTACAGGCTGGGGAACTCCCTTCTCGTCAGTGCAGAGGCAGAAAAGGGTCTTGGAGTCATTATTGATGCCAAAATGAACATGGGCTGCCAATGTGGGGACGCGGTCAGGAAGGCCAACCGCACCTTGTCATGCATCCACAAATGTATCACGAGCAGGTCCAAGGAGGTGATGCTCCCCCTCTATGTGACACTGGTCAGGTCAGGCCGCGGTTGGAGTACTGCGTCCAGTTCTGGGCGCTGCACTTCAGGAGGGATGTGGACAACATGGAAAGGGTCCAGAGGAGGGCCACTCGCATGGCCTTAGGAGGAGGGCCACTCGCATGGGTGCAGCCCGGTGTAGGCCCTGGCAGCCCGTGACCTCTGCCTTTCCCCCACACTGGCCTGTGCCCAGGACGAGGTGGCTACTGCTGCAGGCTGCCCGCTGTGCCCCAAGCACAGATGGCTGGAAACTTTTTTGGTGGGGATCAAAAATGGACAGTTCCTTGAAACAAAAAATGACTGGCAAAAAACATACGGAGTTTGACAAAATGCTTGAGAGGAAGGTTGTCACACAAGAGATGTCCTTGAGAGTCAGACCAGAAATCCATCTAGGTACCCTGGCTCTCACTGTGGCAGAGTGAGGGCATATCTCACTTGATCAGCTCCCTACCCCATCCTCCTACAGCTTCCAGTGTTCAAAGGCCTAGAAGATCCAAATTCTGAAGTTGAGCCCCCAGCTGTTGTGTTTAATACTCTCCGATAGATCTGTTCTCCATGACTGTGTCCACATGGCATTAGACAGAGCAGGAGAGATTTGAACACCCGACCTGCTGGATACAAAACCGGATGGCTAGATACCGCTCTGTCTTGTGAAATCATTAGGAAGTGTTTGATTTTTGATTCAGTGTAGAAGGGAAATCAGTTTTTCAATTGAATTTGGGGGTGCAGAACTGTTCCCTAGCCAGTTGTAGCCCCATGTAATGTCCTGGGAAGTGCACAGTGTGTTCATTAAGCACAGACTCTGGACTCAAGTACTCCTAGCACAAGATCTGAACCTCTTGTGAGCTCTTAGCTCCCACTGCTTTCAGCGCTCAGCACTTTGCAGCAACAGGCCTGTAGCTGGGGAATACTGACAATCAGACACAGTTTTTAGGAGTTAATTACTAGTCTTATTCCCCAAAGTGAGTATTTGCTCCGTTATGAAGTTGATTACTAGGTAGCTTTCAGTAACTCACTCTACTCCAAAGCCATCATTTACCATAAAGGGTTTTTAAATGAATTAATTTTAAGCAATTACCCATTAACTGACACAGACAGCAGAGACAGGGCTAGTGCATGCTAGGATTCACACAGGTTACTGCTGGAGCAAATGATGATGTAGGGCTCACTATTTATCCTCTTTCTCTTCAGGCTAAACTAGCCAGAGTTCGCTCTAATAGACTGCAAGGTAAGAGCGTACACACAGGCCATTAGTGTGCAACAGCTGATGTGCTATAAATCTCCACCCTTGTTTACTTGGCTCTGACTTTTTTTTATGCCCATATCTGCAGATTGCAAATGCAAGCTCCCTCCCTGGACTGCAGGAAGCAAAATACCTCATTGATACAGACCCAGGCAATTCCCTAGACAGTTAATATAGTGCAAGCAGCACCTCCTTTAATAGCAAGGAAGGTTCAGTGGTCATGGCATGCCCTAGGGCTTGCAATATCTGGCTTCCTACCCCAGCTTTGCCCTAGACTTCCTGGTGAATGTAGGCAACACAGTGCCTGATACATCAGTGCCCTGACATGCAGTGAAATTTTCTGCCCTGAGCTAGGCACTCAGGTGCCCCAAACAATGCAGGGAGAAACGTGGATGCCTTAAGGGATCTTTAGCAGCCTAACCAAGCTGAGCAGGGAGCTCTCTAAGCTAGCCGGGAGTGAAAAGCAGAGGAAAGGACTATGATGTCTATTGGACATGGGCCAACACTGGGTGCTCCTACCCTTAGGATACTCGACTGTGACACTTCTCTTGGAGGTGGGTGCCCAAGCCTGGCCACCTGCTCAGGCAGGCATTATTCATAAAAACCCTGCACCCCAGAATAGCTCACAGCCGGCAGGATAGCGTGTTCACCTGGCATGGGTGAGTTCAGGGTTGAACACATGTCCAAATCCAGATCAGTGCCCTAATCACTAGATTATATTTTGGGGGATGGCGGGGACAGGGATGAAGCTCTATTGAAGCTCTTCCATTCAGCAGAGCCAGAGAGGGACTGATTGGGTCCACCCAGTACTTACCTGGGCTGTGAGACAGCTCAGCACCAAGCTCTTGCACCACAATGTGCTTGTGGTCACTCGCAGTTAAAATGAAGACAATGTTGGGAGCTTGGGAAAGTACCCGAGCCCAGAGTGGCATCTGAAGAGATGCCAGGCCTCAGGTGCCACTTGTATTTTCTCATCCGTGATCAGCAATTCGATGCAAACCAAACCCATGTGGTTCCTTGCCGCATATGAAGCACTGATCATTAACCCTGGAATTTCTGCTAATTTACCTCCTTATCCCCCCTGCCCGGTCAGGAGGAAGAGCAGAGCATAGGAGTGTAACACTGGAGATGCCTGCCTGCAAGGACCAGCTGAGCCATCTGACATGATGGTCCGTTGGAAAGGGCAGGAAGGCGTTTGATGTGGTTGGTTTTGCCCGGCACAGAGGTGGGGGAGACGTGCCTAAGCTTCCTGGTTTTGGTTGGAAGGGCGTGGAAGTGAAGGCTGCCGCCTCTGCAAAGCCCTGGCCTTGTGAAAGCCCCATGAGACCCTGGGTTGAACGCCCTTTGGTTGCATCCTGCTCTTGTAATTACCCAGGGCCAAGTCAGGAGTTTTGCATGCTATGCCCTTAGGCAGCCCCAGTCTGAGGCGGGACCGGAGATGGACCTCGTGGTAGAGAAGCCTGTGGGATACAACCTCTTCCCTGCTGGGTGCTGTAGTGTGACTCAGTCTCTGGGACATGGGCTATTGCCTAGAGCCCTTCCTGCTCCCTTAAAGTTGCAAATTTGTCTCCTCACTGCTTGCCCCCAAACAACTGGAAAAGCAGGAGCCCCCTCCACCCGACTGAAGCAAACTCTAGGGGTGAAAGCCTGGCCTCGGAGGGAGTTTGCCATAGACTTCAGTGGAGCTAAGATCACTCCTCTGGGAAGGGAGAGAGTTCCCTGGAGGGTTTTAGAAAGGTACTTTTCCTGCAGAAGGCACATGGAAGAGTATCCGTGAAACTCAGACACCGGCATATCAGTTCATATTCTGTGCTTGCGACTTCTGCTTGAAAAACAAAAAAAACTGAGAAAAGCAGATGCTTAAGAGGAGCAAAAATCAATGGCAGCTGCCATGGAAAGGGCTTGACGTGCAGGCCAGCGAGGGCAGAATTATCCGGAGACAGCTTTCAACTTGCACTCGGCCCAGCTCCCCTGGAGCAGAATTGATTATTGACAAGGTGTTTGGCTAATGTATGCGTTTGAACTGCACAAAAAGCATCACGCTCTTCAGTACGAGCCGCTGAGCTTGTCTTCTGCTTAACGTCTGAGGCCTGAGGCCAGCGTCACAGCTGGGGTAAATTGCTTCATGCACCAAAGTCAACATCACTAGGCTAATTTACACCCACTGAGAACCAGGCTACAAGGTTAGCTTGCCCTCTAGAAACTCTCCTTGGAAAACCTCTGGGGGGTTGCTTTTACTTCTTCATTTTATGTATTTATGCACCTGTGTATACCCAGATAAAACACATACTTACTATTATATACTCAGAAGTGGGTCAAAACTGAGATTCTCATAGGTGGCAGCTTACTTTTCTCTTCCAGTTTCTTTATTACTTGAAAAAAAGGAGCCAGCCTGATTTTTTCAGGGTCCAAGTCTTGTTCTTAGCCTTGGTAGCTGTGGTGCAGGAGAGGACACCTTCTAGGAGGCTGGAGACTGAGATACTACTCACATCTTATACTCACAAAACAGGAAAAAAAATGTGCCGTTCATGGTTTTAGCTACGCATAAAAAAAGTGCCATTAGCTTTATAAAACATGAAGCCAAGCAGTACATATATTCCCAATGAAAACCTTTAAATATAAAATACAGTGGTTTACAAATTTAAACACAATATAAATGTGTGGAACAAACGAATAAGAAAATGCATCTGCAGGGAAGCATGAAAAGTCTTCTTTGCAGCTCCTTTCAAAGGCTGCAGGCTTGGCCCTGTTCATACCGGGGAAGAGAGGAGTAACTGGCTGGTGCTAAGCCCTGGATGGTGATGGCAGAGGCAGTTAGTGCAGCAGCAGCAGCTGGAGGTTTGCTGCTGTGGGAAAGATGTCACTGCCTTTTTTTTGCTGTCAGTATGCCCTCGCTGCTGCTGAAGCTGGATGGTGAAGGGTGCAAGGGTGCAGGGACAGCAGGAGAGGCATGGGAGGGTGAGGTTCCCCCCTAGCTCCATGCCAGCACCCCTCTCCCAAGGCTCATGCCCCGCTTGCCTACCCAGCCGTACGCCTACTGTCTGGGAAACAGATCCCTCCAGATTAAACCATCTCCTCGATTTTCATCCAGCCACTTCCCACAAGGGAATATTGTGCTGACTCCAGTAGCTGAGTTGGTGATCTCCACTCGTTCCAGCAACCAGCCGCTGCTCGCCATGCCACTGTTGTCATGCTCAATCCGGACTTTTTTCAGCTCTCCCAAGTCCAGGGTTTCCAGGTAAAACCTATTGGTTCTGCCACGTTCAAAGAGGTTCCAGAGCTTGTTTTTGAGCGCCCGCTTGCCCGAATCTCCATTGACGCCAAAGACGGTAACAAAGACGTTGGCATCGGTGCCAGCTCCTTTTTCAAACCCGGTTGTCACAATGACCTCGTATTTGACTGGCACCAAACTCCGGGTCTTGCTGGCGAAACTCTCTACGGTCTTGGCACACTCAAAGACTCTGTAGTCGCTCTTCTTGTGACGCAGCGGGATTTTTGCATTGCATCTGAAAAAGAATCTGCCAGAGGGAAGATAAGAGTGTGTTAACAGTGCAAGCGTTGGCACTGCTCAGCAAGTGCTCAGATAGTAGGGGAAGGGGAGTTAGTCATCTACTTCGTAGTCATGATGTCCTTGCAACACTGCCCCACCTTGTAACGGGAACAAAAGGAATCTATCCCTGCTGGGTCGTAAGCCAAAGGTTTCTGAATCTCCACAAACAGCTGTGCTGCAGGACATTAGCTAGAGGAAGAAGCCAATTAGCTAGTTCAACTTACTTACACCCCATGAAAAACAAGCTCAAGTCACAGCTGGATCAACTCCGCTCTTTATCCTGCCAGCTCTTCAGCTCCCCCCTGAGTTGCAACCTTACTGAGCAATACTTTTAATATCCTAAGCTGAGCCAAGAGCGGCTTTTGCTTGTGCCACGTGGTATCAATCCTTACACTTCTTTGAAGGTCAGCAGTCCTGTGACATCTGAATTCCCCCAGATAGTAACAAACCCCTGCATGGCTCTGGCACACCAGCTATACACTCTGATTTTACTTGCATTTTTGATGGGCTTTTTAGGATGCTGTGTCTTTATTCCCAATGGCATTTTAGGCGTAAGCAATTCTGGCTGAACAGAAGACCCAACGCTTTGCTGAACATTATTTTCGACAAGCAGCTAAAACACTTGGCCTTGCCAGGAGAGGATGGAAATTGCTTCCTTCTTTTTTAAGCAGTGCTCGGAGATTTGCTGTCTCTTACATGTAGCATCACACTGGAAGGGGGTTGGGGGGGCTTCCTGCCTGAACAAGTCTCAAGGCTTAAACCCCTCTGCTGAGGCAGCTGCAGGTTCAGCAAAGCCAGGGACCTCCAGAGACCTTGGGGCACAACACTGTGTCGTTCTGTGCCTGGAAAAGCAAAGACTGAGGGTGGGTTTGATAACAGCCTTCAAAGCCCCGAAGGGCAATTACAGAGGGAATGGAGATAAACTTCCTTTGTGGCTGTAGGGGCCAGGACTGGGAGCAATGACTTCAGGCTGCAGCAATGGACATTTCGGCTGAGGTTAGGAAGAAGTTTCTGATGCTGAGGGTGATCAAGAATTGGAGGAAGCTACCTAGAGAGCTTGTGAAATCTTCATTCCTGGCAATTTTCAAGAGCAGGTTAGACAGACACTTGGCTGGAACGGTTTAGTCAGGGATGATCCTGGCTTGAGCAGGAGACTGGACTAGATGACCTTGTGAGGTCCCTTCCAGCCCTACTTTCCTATGATCCTAAAGCCACCATAGCCCAACTAGCTGGGCAGTAGGGTCAAAGCTCTAATACTGTGCTGCTCCCTCTGCCCGGAACAGCTCCTCCGGGCAGAGGCCTTGGGCCAAATTCAACCCTGGTGTCAGCAGGGCCCACCAAAGTCAGTTTGAAATCATGCTTTCATAAACTTTAAGGCCAGGAGGAACTTTAAGGCCAGGAGGAACCTGGCCTCCTGCCTACAAGAGGCCACAGGACCTCAAACAGCAGCTCTTGACCATGAATGCTGCATGCCCCCGGAGGCTGGGAGGCATGGTGAGCTCCCGCAGTCAGCGGTGGCGGCAGTGGGGAGAGGGGTGGCAAGTGCTGACCAGCAGTCAGCGACCACATGCAGACGCTGCGGGCAGCATTGGCAGCAGCCAGCAGCAAGCGGCAAATGCCCACAGGCACCACCGGCAGTGTCGGTGGCGCTTTTTGCAGGGGGGGCACCGCCAAGCTCAGCAGGTGCACATGCACCTGCGTGCACCCCCTATGCATCGCCAATGATCTTGACTTCTGTTTGAGCTACAGCATCTCTTTCAGAAGATCTTCATCTAATGAGTTGAATGACAGAGAAGCCAGTATCTCCTGAGGAAGCTGACCTCCTCCAGGTCATGGCAAAGGTGAATTTGGGCCCTTTGTCATCTCGTTTGTCTACAAAGGAGTCTGAACCCTGGCAGAACTAAATGGCTGAGATCAAAGAGCATAGCAGGGGAGGCTGCTCCCTGCCCCTCAAGACTTTAATGAATCCTGAGGTTAGGTTTGTCAAAGCTGCACTGTTGCACATGCCATTGCATATATCATGTCAAAATTAATCAATTATTGCCATTACTGGGGAAAGGAAGAAAGTGGGAAGAAGTTAGGGAGATCAGGAAATGAGAGGAGATGGGGAGCCCCTGTTGTCTTCCCTTAACACTCCCAGACCATTGTGAGAAGACAAATAAAGGAGAAAGCACTGAAATAATATAGACCAGGTGCTAAGAAACACCCCCCCCCAAAAAAGCCTTTTGCTCCATTGTGCTGCCTCTGGTGATGTGCAGGAAGCACGTAACATATTCACAAATCACCGTGTATCTGGCAATCAGCCAAAGGTTGGAGCATTGTGTTTTTAACGATGGATTTCATTTCCAATGATGCAAATCATTTCCAAATGAGTCCCCTTTCTTTCTCCTCCCCTGCCCCTTCTCCAAGCTGCAGCAGGTCCTCCCTGAAGGAATTCAGCTGGATTGCAGTGTGTGTATGAAATAAAAAAGGATGAGCTGTTGCAGTTCTAGCACTATATTTCAAGCTTCATGATGTTCCAAATAGCTTCTGAAGCCAAAGAAATACTCTCTCTCCTTTGGAAAGAAATGCTGCACATGAGAAATTCCAATGAGATTGCATTCTGCAGCCTATACTCAGGGGTGGGAATATACTTCCCAACAAGACAGATTAACTCTCTCCAAACTATAAGGTTACCCAAAGTTGCATTTTTTCCCAAGAATCATAGAATCATAGAAAATTAGGATTGGAAAGGACCTCAGGTGGTTATCTAGCCCAACCCCCTGCTCAAAGCAGGATCATCCCCAACTAGATCGTGCCAGCCAAAGTTTTGTCTAGCTGGGTCTTAAAAACTTCCAAGGATGGAGATTGTACCACCTCTCTGGGGAACCTGTTCCAGTGTTTTACTGCCCTCCTTGTGAGAAAGTGTTTCCTAATATCCAACTTAAACTTCCCTTGCTGCAACTTGAAACCGTTGCTCCTTTTTCTGTTGTCTGCCCCCACTGAGAACAGTCCCGCTCCATCCTCTTCTGAACCCCCCCTGCAGGTAGTTGAAGGCTGCTATTAAATCTCCACTCAGGCTTCTCTTTTCTAGACTAAATACGCCCAGTTCCCTCAGCCTCTCCTCATAAGTCATGTCCCCTAGCCCCTGAACCATTTTTGTTGTGCTTCGCTGAACTCTCTTCAATTTCTGCACATCCTTTCTGTAGTGGGAGCCACAACTGGACACAGGACTCCAGATGTGGCCTCACCAGTGCTGAATAGAGGGGAAGAATCACTTCCCTTTGTCTATTGGCAATCCTCCTACTGATGCAGCTCATATGCCTTTAGCTTTCTTGGCAACAAGGGCACATTGTTGTGCTATGTGGCATTTTCCTGAAAGCCCCAGGTTGCCGAATTGTGATTAGGTGAGAATCTGAGCTCTTCTTAAAAAAGACTAATTTTTTGGCCATCAGAGTTGCAATGGAGAGGCCCAGAAACGTGGCCCATGTGTATGCTAATGGCTTAAAACCAACAGGCAGGGAGTACAAAAATCGTCTTGAGGAAAAAAACCCCTATAATTATTAAGCCAAGCTTATGAATTTGGGGTATTTGGAGTTAGCAGTTCTGAAACTGTACCCCTGCTGTGAAATCTGTCCTCAGGGTTCGGAGCAATTGCTGGTTTTCCATATAGAGGTGGCTGCAGAAGCTGGAAGTAGGGTCCTGGGCTTGCATAGTGCCAACTAGATGGTGCAGAAACCAGATGCTAAGAAACACTTTTTTGTTTTTTGTGGATGGCCCCCAAAACATAGTGGACATATGTCAAGGACTCACCTTCAACTGATGATGACATGTGAGAAGGAATCTGAATCTCAGTGTTTGGCCCTTGTTCATAGAATTCATACATTCATAGATTTTAGGGTCGGAGGGGACCTGTTAGATCATGGAGTCCGATCCCCTGCCGTGGGC